AGAAGCTTGGTCTAAAATTCCCGAAAAATTAGCTTTTTATGATTACATCGSCAATAATCCAGCAAAAGGGGGATGCAACTATAAAACCTTAGGGTGGGATTCCTTCTGTTTACCCCTTTTTACACCCTTGTTTTTCCAGTTAGTTTGGGTAATTGATTAACGACCATAATTAGTTAATAACCTATACAAATATCCAATCTAATAAGTAAGGTACACACAATCATCTGTCGAGTCCGGATCTGCTCCTTACACAGGCCTCATATGAGCTACACATCAGGAACATCTCCCATATTTGTACGTTATTATCATGGGAGATGTTCCCAATACACAGTGGGATGTGGTTGTTAGGTCGGTGCGAGGAGCAGATCCCAATTCTCATCTGTCCCAGGTCCCTTGTTTTTGTCTTAATCAATTTTAGGTAAGCATTTGATAGAAAATGAAGAGGTCTAGGTCCACATCAGTTTATTCTCTATTCCTCTGCTTGCTTCTCAATTCCCTCAAAATTGAATCCGGATACGCTCCCCACAGAGTGGTCTCCACACCAATCACACAATCTGGGCATTGGGTTGGTGTGGGGAGAGCTCTGTGGGGGAGATAATCCGAGTTCTTCAAAAATATTTATTTTAATGTTTGTAAAATAAAAAAAATCAAACTTACGGCCATTTAAACTCAACTATAACCAATTCAGTATCATTTTCAGTAGAAAGCTGATAATCACTTCCTCAACATGGGTATATTTCAATTCCATTCGATACATGGTCTCCTTTAGTAACTTGTCAAAGAGGAGCTGAAAGTGGGATATAAGAAATATTTAAAATGTGCCATCCAGCATTTTTAGCAGCTTGAGAGTTTAGTTAATGACCAAATGATCAACGATAGGCATTGGAGTGATTATTTTATTGGAAAAGTACGGACAGGCCCAATGCAGATTTTTGATTTCCACTGCAGAGCTATAAACATTCAAAATGGCAACAACCCACATTCTATGCACCAATGCCTGCCCGTAACCTACCCCAATAGTACTTTGAGCCTACAAATTCTACCCCGGGGCTGAACTTTCATTTTCCCTTATTTTATCTCTAAGGCCTCGTTCACTTTTCGGTAAGTTATTTATCTGGGTAAATGCACTTACCAATGGTTTCTTATTTTTTAGATAAATGTAATAATGACCATTTTAGCCATTAAAATTTCATTATTAAAGGGGCATTTTTGTTCCATTCAAATGTTGGCAACTTTTCCAAGATGGAAAAGTTAATTTACCCACCTAGGAGATGTGTATCACTTACCCGGGTAAGCAGTACCCAAGAAAATAAACTTTCCCTGTTCCCCACATAAATATGAGAAAAGAACATGGGATTCTTGGTCAATGGGATTCACATTGACCAACTTTCCCCCCTCTCAAAATCCCAAAAACTAATGCCCCCTAAACTTTTTTCACATACCAATGGTATCTCTTGATTTATGCCACTTTTAAATTTGAATATTTGCAACATTTCTTTTTTCAACACCAGCAATGCTTTCTTTTCATTTTTTGGAGGTGGGTGGTGGGGCTAGAGTTATTCTTCCAAACTTAGAAAGTTAGAATTACTGTTCTGACATGAGAATTAGAACCCACTACCAATGGAGCCATCTACATCTGGATCCAGATGATAGATAAAAATAGACAAATGATTTTGATCATGTGTATAAAAGACCACCAGTAGCATCAGTTAGAAGAAGTGATTTGTTTCAAGTTGAAGGAGATAGGAGTAAGGGTAAACCAAAAGGACATGAGTAATAGTAAGAAAAGATTTAAGGACTAATAATTTAAAAATGGATATGGTTTTAAATAGAACCGATTGACAAAATAGGATTCATTTAGTTGATCCCATATAGTTGGGATAAGACATGGACAATGATGATGATGAAGATGATGACCACAACTTGCTTTTATTACTTTTATCATTATTGTAGGTCGTTACCTTTGTTTGTAGAATGAGCATTAATGAAAGAAATTTGCCTCAGGTTTAAAAAAGAAAATTATGAATGAAATTTTCCTTTCAGGCTTAAAAAGGAAAAATAAAAAAAGAGCACTCTTCATTAACTATCGAATATTTCAGATTAAACAATAGTTTTTTGGGCCAATACAACACATTGAAGGGTGCTATATCTTGTTCTTTCGTGATCCAAGAGGCCCAAGTCAAGAGTTCTTTTGATCTCCTCTCCCCGGACATTTTCTTCCTCGGTTGACCTGCCATGGATACCATACAAAGATCTATGTCAAAGAGTCGCGATCCATTTTCTTGATACGATAATTGTATGATTACAATTATTGCCATATAGAAATCAATTAGATTTTACGATTTCAATCTCTTGCATATCTTTATGTTTCAGTTACTAGTATCCATAGTCGTCCAAAAACATATCAATTGAGCTCCTTTTCTTTCTTATTCTAACTGTGGTCACCAATTGAGCTGAACTTTTCCTTTGTTTTCTTATTCCAACTGTGGCCATGAATCCAAAATAACATGTATACTTTGATCTGTGTTTTCTTGCAAGTAGAGGAGAAATTCGAGAAGCTTAGGCTGTAGTTAAGTGCTATAAAACAGTGTGGAGGTTAGAGAGAGAGAGATGCACCTTTTCTAGACTCGAAAGGAACCATATGGAAAATGGATATAGAAAAGACAAAATTAAGAAAATTAATGTTGTAAATAGATGCGCCTCAAAAAAATGTTGTAAATAGATAAAACCGCATCTATTATTACCTAAAACTAAGAAAAGAAACAAAACAATGCTCAAGGCCACGAGTTGGTCAAACTTGTAGCTGCTACGAATGTCCCATTCTCAATTCTAGGAACATCCCCCAATGCTTGATGGATTGAAACAAAGTAAATGATCTTTTCTATTCCACCAGCTTCAGGTTCCAGAATATGTGGTGGTCCTGGTGATGTCAATTGTAGAAGTTGTAAGTTCCAACAAAGTTGTAGCCTGTCCAACAGAGACAAACACACCAACTAAATGTTAAATAAACATGATGTATGCAAGTATTTTAACTCGTGGAATCACCATTAGAGAAGGACTGCAGAATTAAATAAAAAAAAATCCCTACCTGCATCAGGCATGCCAGGGAAAGTTGATTTGAGATGAGTGAAAGTATGTTTACATTTCTTTCTTCTGGGGCTTGACTGTCTTCATTTTGGAAATTTCATGGTATGGATTAACAGGTCCCGGTTAACAAGCATATTTGGATCAGATTATCTAAACCAAGTCCTACCCAACTTAGGGTTGAGATTTCCCAGCCCCATACTGAACCAAGTTGCAGCCCTAATTGACAAACTGGTGAAGTGGCCTCATGTGGTGTTTGGCTCCCCTTTATTCAATCTAACATTCATCTCCTGAGATAATTGCTAAAATGTAATTAAGATTATTAAATAATTATACCATTGAAAAAGTACAACAACCATGACCAGCACATTCAACAAAAGAATACTTGCTTCACTTGAGTGGGTGCAACCTTATATCAGGATCTTCATCCTCAATTTCTTTTATGTACTGAACAACATCTTGAACTTTCTTTGTCAAGTGTTCTGTGTGCATCTCAATTTCATTCAAAATACTTCTCAACTGTATCTTATATGCTGCACACCGTTCTTCATATGCTTCACACCGTCTTTGACATCGTTGCCTCTCATTGTACAGCTGGCTGGTTAATTCTCGGATTCTTCTATCCTTTTCATCCTGTGGCATAATAAACAAGAATACATAACAAACCTCAGTTGATTGCAGAGGACAGCAAGGAAAATCCCGTGTTGACAATTCATACAATTTCACTTGGACCTGCTTAGACAAACTTCTGATCTAATAACTGGCCTAATTAGGCCCATCTGAGCTACTGATTAGGAACATTTTTTATATTTGTAAACCAGTATTGGAAGTTGCACTTATAGCACTCATCACTTTTTTATTATTTTGAGTGAAAAAGTTGAGTGAAAAAGTTGATCCTTTAGCACCCTAAAAAGCAAGCATTGGATATAGCATTATTGATTTACATGTCTTATAGCATAATGGTGTATTCTAGTTCTAGACAATAGTTTGCTACGACCAAGATCATGATAATAACAATTTCGTACATAACACCATTTAGAATGCAGTACCTGGTTTGGAGCACAACCAGATCACTCCTGACCCAGGCCAAGCACATCATGGGTGGCCCTCAACTCCCAACCCCTCTTAAATGTCTGTCATCTACACTATCAAAATTAAGTTACCCAGTTCACCATCCTAGTTTAAGCATTTAGAAAAAGTAGGAACACATTTGGTGAATTAGAATATCAAGGGTGTGTAAGAGTCCTTTGTAACATTAATGCATTAGACTATCACCTCAAGGGTATTTAATATTTGTATTTTTATTCTTAATTATAATGGTAAAACCAAGGCTGACAAGCATGAGAATGAAGGTTTGAGTCTGAGTGGCCACTTTCTGCAAAAAAAAGGTGCCAAAGGTTAGGTCATTATCCATTCCACTCCTCCCAAGACCCAAGATTGCTAGGACCAACATTGGGTAATGTCCCTTTTTAAATGCATATTAGAGGTCTACTGCATTTTCAGTTTACTACGTCTGCCTCTATGTTAAATGCCAATTTAATCAAGCATACCATCTAAAAGGAGGGATTAATCTAGTAAGCTATATATAGGTGGATAGATAAAGATTTAAAAACAAAAAATACAATGTTCATTTTTCTGGATGAGAGGTGTAAGAGTGCCACAAGAATTTTATTGATACAATTAATCAAATTACGTTTTTATAGGATATGCCTATAAGCTAGATACATATTTCAATTTCATGAGTCATGACGAAATCTCATTTTGAAGAAAGTGAATCAGTGCCACAAGAATTTTCTTAAAAAAACATTCATGTACAATTTTAAGGCACAAAGCACATAATTCTTGGAATTTGAACTTGTGGAACACAATAAAAGGAAATACATTACAACTCTAGAAGGATGAAATGGGTATCCTTACCACTGTCTTTGTTTGTTGAAGTTGCTCATCATATCAAACATATGTAATGGCAAAAACCAGGGGAAACAGTGAATTATATCACAAAATGCATTAACATATTATGGTGTTTGTGAAGGATGGACTTGGAGCAGACAAAAATTTAGAATGTAGAGATCAAACTCATATATAATCTTTTTATGTGTAAAGTTCAAATTCATGCACAACTCTAATACCATATTCTGAGATCATTAATCATCTCATTCAAGGAAACAATACTGGCAATAATTTGCTTTCAAATACCATCCTACAACAGTTGGTCTAATGCATACCTCGCTGAGTGCCTTATCAGGTCTATCCTGTCGCCTCACTGGCACTTCACTAGGTACCATAAGTTCATGATTGTGCTCTCTTACAAAATTGGTAACAACCCATTTCCCTCCATCTCTTCTATAAGCTATAACTAAAATTGCCTTGCATCCTACCCTTGTTTGTTTTGACAAACGAATGATCCTATCTTCCCTCAAAAATTTCTTTCGCTGAAAGCCTTCTTTTGAACATACATAATCATAACCAATAACAGCATGGTCTATACGTGATCTGCGTTTACGGTTTACACGTATTGTGAAACCATTTCGTCTGGCATATACACAATAATAGTCCCTAGCATCATCTGATGAAGTGAATTCCATCCCAACATATGGCTCTGGATGTTCCACATTTGCGGTTAATCCTTCAGCAGGAGGTTCAATCATCTTTTCATTTCCACTAACACCATCACAGTCTTCTACTGTTTCAAGCTCATTCAAAGATTCATCATCCATAACCCTGCTGCTTCCCATCAAATCAAATCCCTGGCTAGATGTGCTTGCCATTACATTCCTGTGAGAAATAGATGTTTAATTTATCACCCACTGTCTTAAGGGCATAAAATGTCAAAAGGCAAAAAGGCACTGCATATTCCCATTTGAGGAATCCATTCCATCATGCAGACCTCCACCATGAAAGATAAAAGCTATATAAGTAAATAGAGATTTCAAATTTCCCTTCTTACCATCAATTTTGCATCCTCTTGACAGCCCAAAATAAAATAAAGAAACAAACTCAAACCAGATATAAAGAAAGGACTAATTCAAAACTTCAAATGTGAAATAACCAGTAATAAAAAGTACCACCATCATCATCGTCATCACAATTTGCCTTATCTCACTTATCATGGTTTTCAAGGCAATACTTAGGCAACGCCTAAGGCAGCAAGGCATTTTTTTGGGATTGCCCTGTGCCTTGCTTTGGTGTTTTTATATGGGAGGTGTACTTAGGTCTAGTGCAGCTAAACCACACCATATTGTATAAGCAATATCATAACTTGTCCAAGTTGGTTCAAGTTGTAAGTGTGGAAGTTGGCAACAAATGGAGGTATTCAATGTCTATAATCACATAACTGAACTTTGAAATTCTAGCCAACAGAAGTATATCAATCATCTCCGATCTTCATATCATGCACGTAAGCATACCTGTTACTTTTATGCTCCTCAACTTGAATAAAAGATGTATAAAACACCTCCTTCACCTCTTGAGTTCTGACTATGATAATGACACAACTCCTGCAGCCTAAGCTCTATGCAATTCCATCTGTCTATCAAACCTGAAATATGTGCATGAGTCGGAACCAGTGCTGAAATTTATTTCATTTACTTCAGATGATTTCATCATATATATTTAGAAGTAAGTTTGAATCAAAATTATTCAAATAATTGCACTGATACAATGTTCTTGATATATAATGAAGCATCTTGATGTTACGATTATTTTAAAATTTGTCTTTTTGCTTCTGAGGGAGTTTGATAGAAAACTCAAACATGGCAAATCTATAGGAGCAGTGTTGAACAGATTCTTGGTTGGGCATGATCTAGGAGGGTGTAGATGATGTAGGGATCTGTTGACATTTGACAATTTTAACACCTCTAACACCTCCAAAAATAAATTGTAGGTTTATATCATGGCTGTCAGGTATCTTATTTTGCACTTTCAATATGAAAAATATCCATGGATGGACTCACTAAGTTTGTAAGATGACTACAACACCCTAGAAGAGAAAACTATGCAAGTCAAAAAAGAAAAAGAAAATTCAGCCCCACTTCAATGCCCACATTATGGGATAAGCATCATCTTATACATCCAAAGCTAGGAGGATCAAACAATAATCCCATGACAGTCTAACCCTCAGCAGATTGAGAAACACTACAGAATGCTCTAGTTTGTAAAAACTAAGAACTGATCAAGCTGATAAATCGCATGGACAAATAAAGTCAAATCAGCATGAAGCTTCTGAAAGTCTCTTCAAAAGCAAGTATTCATAAAATGATAAAATATTTTCGTACTTGTTATTCATTCCATCCCTCTCTCTCTCTCTCAAGAGTTATTAAATTGCATAGGAACCACTTCCAATACACCACAGCCCCTTGTAGAGATTTTTTGGATGCTTACAACTCTTCCTAAAGTGCATTTCTTTCTCTCAGATGACTAGGACTATAGAACTAGTGAAAGTCCACTCAGAACCAACCAGTTTACTACCTATGCCACAAGGATATGGTAAAATGCCTAACAATTTTTTCTGAACAGCTAATCACTTCTATATTCCAAATCATGATAATTCCTCTAGAAGTTCCAATGGAAGTTCTGAATATTCAACCCCTATCTATATAAGCCTAGATACTCCTAGCCCATCTAGAAGCTGAAATAATACAAACATTGCTAAATGCTGTATTGAACCCTCAAAGACTTCAAAACCTGAATCAATAAGTACTATTATTATTTCTTTTCTTCTTTTCCTATAACAAAGATAAAGGTTCAACCCCTATATTTTTTGAATTTTCTTTTCCTTCTTTTTCTTCTCATGAGTATGTTGATTTTCTATACTTTAACATGAACTCTATACTTTTCTTATGAAAATTATGAATAATTATTAAGGAAATATGGTTATGGTACCTAGGGAACTACCCTAGGATCTATGTTTTCTACATAAAAAGACCATTGCCTAGGTGACTAGGCGACAAGGCACCCCCCTGTCGCCTAGCCTTGCCTTGGCACCTTGAAAACTATGATAGGTAATTTATTATACCATAGTTAGAGTTTAAACAACTCCACCAATGCCATATTGTCTTAACTGTCATTCCCAAACTCATATAGAGGAGGGTTGCATCAGGTTGGCAGTAGGAATTAAAACCTTTGCAAACTCTTATGGTCATGGATCCTGAATTATCGTTTTGTGCTCATGCCAGGGCATTCCTGAGAAGTTATGTGTCAAAGCTATGCCACGTGGTGGAAAATGAGAAACTAGGGTTTTTACATCCTCATAGAAGAAAGTTAGTAAAAGAGGTTGTCCAATAAAGACAAATTTATTTAGCCACTTGGAATGTAGAAACACTAATAGGAATGACTATGAAATTAGTAAACATAATGACAAACATCAATATTGCATGCAAACAAGAAACCATGGAATTAGTAGACACAATAGGAAAGACTAATGACTACAAATTATGGCACATAGGAGAAGTAAATAATAGAAATGCAGTAGCAATTATAGTAGATAACCTAAAAAAATGAAAGTATAAATGTTAAAAGAATCGGAGATAGAATAAGTTTAATTAGTAAAGAAAATTAACAAAGTTAGTGCTTTTTTGATCAATAACTGAATTAGATTCATTAACATACTTGGTGCTTATGCACCTTAAATGGGTTTTGAAAAAAAAAATGAAAAGACAATTTTGGAAAAACTTAGAAGGATTAATCTAAAAAATTCCACAAGAAGAGAAGATTTTTGTAGGAAGGGGCAAGGTCCAAAATATCAATACACCCTGTTATGCCAAAGGGGGTGTATTGATACTTTGAAAACCTCGCACTTCATAACTTTTTTAGTTTTTTTCTCAAAATTTCAGAGGGGATTTTTATGTTATTTAATTATTAAGAAGAAGATTTTCTTAAAATGCTTTAAAAAGTCATACCAGTCACCAAAAGATATGATGCAAAGCACCCGATACGGAGCATATTATATTGAAATTTTGAACCTTGGAAAAGAACCTAAATATGTGGGGAAAAGAAACGGAGAATATGCTATGGTACAAGAAGGATTTGGGTTTGGGGAGAGGAATGAAACAAGAGATACAATTTTAGAATTTACGATAGCTTACTATATGGCAATACACAATAGTAAATACATATTTCAAAAAGAAGGATGAACACTTAATACATTTAAAAGTGAACCAAAATAAAACAAATAGACTTTTCCTAAGAGAACAAAATAAATGATGTGTAAGGATTGAAAAGTTATTCTAGGAGAAAGATTAACCACACGATATAGATTAGTGGTGGTAGATTTGTGCATTAGGAAATGGAAGAGAATAAAGAAGAAAATAGATGTCTAATAATTATGTGGGAAAGCCTAAAAGGAGAAAAACTAGCATATTTTAGATATAGATTGATAACAGAATGAAAATAGAGTTCATATGCAAAGATTAATAATTTGTGGCATGAAACGGCTAACTACATAAGGTTTTTCTACTGTTGCTACAGTAGTCCGAACCAGTAAGGAGAAGAAGAAAGAGAAGGAGAAGAAGAAGAAGAAGAGAAGAAGAAGAAGATGAAAGAACTGTCGAACCTGATAGCTAAACCCTATCAGTCGACTTCTTAATAGTGATTAGGCTCTAATTAAATGTACA